ATTTCAGAATACATAGATGAAATCTAATTCTGATTGTGAGAATGTTGCGCGTTTGAACTGAAGATAATGAAAAAGATAGAAATACCTATACGGAAATACAGTTATCTTCTCGTCAGTTAGATTTTTATTATTTATCATAGTTGTGACATTGTCGGCGATAATTCTGGCAGATTTCAGAGATTCGTACCAGTCAGATAATTTTTTTAACGGAGTGTGATATCCCATGAAATAACTATCCTTGACATCCGTTAATTCATGCTCGTCTGTATAATAATTCAGTGCCTGCGAGCATGCAAATAATGATATCAGAATGTTGGAAGCTTGCGTTTGGCAAGCAAAAGTTTAAAAGAATACGAAGAAAAACAAAAATCAAAGGGAAAAATATGGAAGTAATCATTTTTTACATCAAGGTATGCAGCTCGACCAGATTTCGCACAGGTTGGATCCGGGATATCTTGTACAAAGTACGATATATATTTTCGGAAACTGTTCGCATCTGGTCGATAATCGTCAATAGGAATGTCGCAAACATTACACATAACTACAACAGAAATAAAGCGAGTTAAGAAATAAAGCAGTAAGTGTGAAATGTGAAAATTGGTGATAATTACGGTTTGTATGTGGGCAGAATGATTGATTAGCTTGAAAATATCTACAGCAGCCGGATATCTTTGACCAATCTATGTAATCGTCCATCCAAGATGAAGCTGCTTTCGATAAGTACGATCTACATTTGAATAATCGATAGATTTATTATTAATAATGTCTTTTTGGTATAAAATTGGCGTTAAGGGCAATTATTTAATACTATACGAACACAGCCGGTTGTTTAGCTGCTGAATAAATTTGTGTGTACAGTGAATCACTGTTACATCCTTGACTACCACAAATTATATTTTGCACTGTTTTATTACTATAATCGAGTCCAGGGGTTACCACAAAATAAACAGGTGGACCCATTGATAAAAGGTCCTCCATAAACTAAAAAAATCAATGATCACGTTGCGACGAATAAGATCACCAACATCACCATTTTTATCATCGTTATCATTCTATCATTATTACTAAATTGCCATTGTATCGAAAAAAGAAACGATATTGTTATATAATCTTGTATGCACATACAATGAAAATGTTACCTCAAAGTATTTCAAAACATAAGAATCTATAGGCATCGAGAGCTTTTCATCCAACCCAATAGCAACGTCTGGCAATATTACGATGTGCATAACTAGTATAACGAAGAATATCGTCAATACAATTATTCTGATTGGTGTTTTCATAAGGAAAGGTGTGTAAAAACGTTTGAAAATCGTATGTATGAGACTGATGTTTTCCTCGGTTATAAAATTCTTCTTTTTCGTTTTTATGCAGCATAACACATCCAGAAAATTGTTCTAAAGTATTGCAGAGGTAAAAATTAGTTATGTAACGTACTTACACATGTGTATAGATATAATATTATTTACCTCGAATCGTCGCTCATTTAACGATAAAAGGCTAATAAATGCAGTTATTTGCAAGAAGAAATTGATTAAGATGGATATAGACGCATAGAGGGCGAAAGTATTTACGGCAGGCATTGTCGATAACGTCCCTGGAAGTAAAAATTGTTTGGTATGTGAGACAGAATGATAGTTAAGATAGTTCGATAACTGATAAATGTTGAGACTGTCGATACGAACCGATTAAAAAGCAGAAGCACTCAGACATACTCGTGAGAAACATTGACGGCCCAACTTGTGCTAATATCCTTCCAATATGATCAGGTATCGATTCCTCGCTATGTTTCGGGTTCCTTTGATGTGTATTAATCAAAATAAAAATATTATCTACGCCTATGGCTAGTACCAGAAATGGCATTACCTGTTTATATATTCTATGTATTGCGACATGAAACTTATAGGCGATTAATGTCATTTATATCTTTTATGTCCATTTACCTCGATCGTAAGTAGTGTTGTAGGTACTCCGATGTAGCCAAATATACCAAGGGAACACGCTACTGATGCTATTACGATAACAATTCCACCGATGCTTAATATTATTTTGCTATTTGCCTAAAATCATGTGAGAACAACCTTTGTTAATGGCTGAGAATATTTTGAAATTAACAAAAAGGAATTTGCTACTAATATGAAAGCCAAGTATTAATTTACTGATGTAAATTGTAATTGAAGAACGAACGAAAACAAAAGGAATGAACGAGAAAGTATTATGGAAAATGTGGCAAGTATCTATATATATGAAAAAGAAGAAACTTACAAAATATTTTTTCATGGGACATTTCATTTCGCTTAAAGCGAAGGCTACGTAAAAGAACATCAGCGCGTAACTAATGATTACTGTTATTGCCTCTGACTTGGAGGATCGTTCTAGTTCATCTTCAATCGATTTCTCCGTAGTATATGCAACGTCCATAAATTCCGGCCTCCCATCGACATCCCATTCTTTCATAAAGTCGAGAAATCTAGAAATTTTGAAATTAATCGATGGGGGACAGTGTCAATATTCGTTAACATTGCGAGCCAGTTTTTCTTTTTTTTTTTTACCGTTGCTCCCATTTGCGGACCGATTGAAGCACAGTTCCGTTCAGCGAGTTTTTCACGAGGAATGATAAAATCAATCCGGTCGATTTGATGTAATCTTCCGCGTCGTAATTGAATTCACCTTCGCGAAGAAATCCACCGTAAGCCAATGCTGGTAATACTGGCCCATTGTACGGTGCCAGACATTCGGGATTGTATGCATTTCTTCAGAAAATCACACATCGGCAATAAGAATAACAGTATACGATAAATAATCCATCTCATGCATAGAATAAATAATAATTACTTACTGAGCACACTTGTACAAATGATCCAAATAATTGATCTCGTACGAATCTACTAAGTTCGTTTTATTAAAAGTGTCGAGATCATTTTGGAAATACCCCCATACGCTTTGCACTGTGCAAAGCTCTAAAGTAACGGGCCCGTTAAAATCACTTTGGACAGGAGCATAACAGATA